AATTACCAAATATAGAGAGTAACCCAACCTACCCTTTATCCATCAATGTGACAGTCTTCACGAGGTGGAACATTAAATGGATCATATGTTATCCATTTTATGTTAAAATTTTATTTGATCAGTAGGGTATATTGTTTAATGTACCATATTGATCCTCTCACTGGAAGTTATAGAATTAAATGACAATATACATACATATATATATATATATGTATGTATATGTATCCATCCATTAGTAATATAGGCACACTAAGCCGCGAGCTTAGAGTGACAACGAATGCTCGGTTTCCTGTTCTTTCAAGTTACATACTTACATGCCTCCTAATCAAATGGAGTATTGCTTAGTGATCCTAGATTTGAAGTGCAAAAAGACAGAGACATAAGAAGCTACAGAATGCTAGGATAGTTTCGAATCTACTTCCGGAAGATGATCAAACTTCGGAACTTCGGAATGAACGTTCATACCTTTCCGTTTTCAGTTTCAATGTTTCTAACAGGTCCTTTGAACCATTTCCTTGCATCCAACATCCACCAAAGCATTACTAGACCCAATCCCACACCCAAAGCAACAGGTGCATAATTGAATGTATTCCAAGTAATTGGGTAGAAAGTCGGGAGGAGGAAGACCGAACAGGTATAACAAATCCACAGGAAGGCAACCAAGCAAATTGGCCTTCTAGCTTTCCCCAAGTAAAATGGTCCAGCGTTGAAGTTCATCTCAGGCATTACAAATCTTGCAAAGATTGGAACTGCATATCCTCCTACCCATCCAATTGTACATATCGAAGTTATGGCAGTGAAGACTACATTGACTTTCAAGATTGGAAGTCCGAGAAGAATGCAGATCGCTGCACAGAGCCACACTGCATTTGAAGGAACTTTGTGTTTCGGGTGCAATTTTTGCCATACAGACGAAAATGGAAGACCTTGGTCTCGCGATAGAGCATATACCTGAAAATACCACTTAAAGTTCAATACTACCATCCAAAAGAAAGACAATTTAAGACAGTTAAGGATAGAGTATAATTCTAACTGCGTAATGGAGATAAAAGCGACTAATTCCCATTTTTTTATCACACAATTTAGAAGCACATATTCAGTATTTGTAGCCTAAAAATTGCTTTTTCGGATGTTCACAGATTATTCATACTGATTAAAACAGAAGATATTTGTTAAAAAGTTATTCTTTTCCCTCATGCTCAACCATTCAAATTCAAGCTATGAAGAGCCACACCAAAACCTTTGCGAGCAAATGATCAGCAAATAAAAGACTATTCTATATGTAATCATGTGCTTTCGGATGAATATGTAAAATCTCAATGCAGAAAAACAGACTAGAGATAAAAGAATCACCAACGCGCAAGGTAGTAAACAGCCTAAACCGTAAAAAATTGCTTTAGCAGTGCCCGGCAGAGTGCTTTAGTAAATCTAATATCAAGCTTCTGCGCTCCGAAAGCGAACAAAACAATTATGGCATTTTAGGAGAAAAAAGGCAAGGGTATTTACCACTCTGGCAGCACTAGTGGTAATTGAAAGCCCACCGAAGAAGAAGGAAGCCCAAATGATGCATAGTAAAATGATTGCTCCTGTGGAACTCTGATACCTCCCATGAAATGCATCGTAGAGTATTTGAGCTGGCACAAATGTTCCAGCAGTCTCGTTGGTTGGATCATATAGGTAGCTAAAATCCTGAGTGAAAAATATGGAGTCTCAGTTCAGTGTCCATTTGTGAGTTGCTCGACAAGGATTAGACTAAAATTAGCCATTAGATACCGTACCTGAATGCTGAAAGTAAGTGCCAAGATGTATGCCCACCCAAACACTGATATGATAGCAATGCTAGATAGAATAGCAATAGGACCGTTCTTGTCTGCTCCTTTGGTTTCTTCGGTTAGATGTGCTGCAGCATCATATCCATATAATGAATACTGACTAACAAGAAAGGATAGAATCACAGCATACGGTTTGCTTGATATCCCAGTCTGCTCAGAAGCCACTTCGAAATTTGTGAACACATATGATGCTGACTGTGTCGTCATTGCTACCAGGGGAAGTGTTATCACAATAACCAGCCCTCCAATGACCTGCCAACAAAAATTTGAAACCAATGTTTCATATCAGATAATGTTACTGATCAATTTCACAACAGACAAAACGAAAGTTTATCTGCAAATTTGAAAGAAAACGTATTGGAAATGATTCTTCATACTGTGCATATACACTTAATATTGAAAAAGGGATTCGGTATTACGATTAATATCATATTTTTGTTCTCCATCTGTGTATATCTTCTGACTGCTTGTTATGCATACATTTTTATTCATAAAGGTATACGAAGAACAAGCACCTTCTGATGTTAATATAGTATCAATCACAGTATACAATACAGTTATCATATATGCTAACTTCCCAAACAAAATGATAAGGAAGCACGCAAGTAACCGGAATATGATTTTACCTGCCACCATATCGAGATTATGTCAATAAAGGCAATTACTTCTAGCGCAAACGTGTTGAGAAACGCCCATATAACAGTGAGTCCAATGTACATGCATAAGAATAGCCATTTCGGTGCAAGATATCCTCCATCTTTATTTGTCCCAGTGGATAACAAAATGATACTTTGCAGCGTTTGCGATCCTGCATATGCCTTTCAAATCAAGTTAAAATTAAGTAGCTCAAAATTAAACCGATACTTCACCAATTTCTTCTCTCAAAGTTAAAGGATTAGTACCTGAGTGCCTATACCGGCAATGAGGCCTACCGTCTCAAGCCAAGCGCAGCACCATGAGGCAAGTGGACCCCATTTGGGGCCGGCTAAATGGGCAGCCCAGAAGTAAAGAGAACCTGTAGTCTGTTTCAAGTTTCGACCAAGCAAAGAGGAAGTAAGTTGTCTAGGAACGAAAATTATCAGTAATTAAGAGGATATGCTAACAAGTGCTCGAGTGCACGTATAATGTGTGTATATACATATAAAAAGGACTTGGAAATGGAAAAGTGACGAAGGTGGACAAACTGGGAAAGAGGAGCAGATCTCTGCCATGGCAACTCCGACAAAGCAGGTGAAAAATGAAACGACCACCCATCCCCACACAAGGCTTGCAGGACCCGCATATAAAAGGCTTGAGCCATACAAGGGAGTAATTCCGGTGAAAAGTGTCATTGTCGAGAACGAAATTGCCAGAGTTTTGAACAAAGTCTGCAATCCAATCAATTGATGAAGCTCGAGTTAATAAGAAAGATTCCATCAGAGATAATTAGATATGCAACAGAAAAAAGCATATTATATATATATATATATGTATGTATGTATGTATAATTTATAGGTAGGTAGTGAACTGACCATCTCTCGTCTGAGTTCTTGCTTGTAACCAAGCTCGTTAAGGCGCCTTTCCCCTGAATCCATCTCTTGGATCCGTGACGCATCTACTTCGTTGTGCACCATGGATATGTATATTCAAGAATAATGCACTTGCTGGTTATTTAGCTCTAAAATCAAACTAACAAAGCAGCTGCTTATATATATGCAAATAGGTTTTACTTTTCAACCCCTTTTATCTTTATGGCTGAATATTCATATGTGACTGGGTTTTCAGTTTTCGGTTTTCACGCTAGGAAGGAATAAATTAACAAGCTAGAGAGAGAGAGAGAGAGAGAGAGAGAGAGAGAGAGAGAGAGATATCGGGTCAACTAAGCAAGCCAAGCAGCATGTATAAAACTCAGAGACTGACTTTAGGTGGGTTTTCACACTAGGAAGGAATAAATTAACAAGCTAGAGAGAGAGAGAGAGAGAGAGAGAGAGAGAGAGAGAGATCGGGTCAACTAAGCAAGCCAAGCAGCATGCATAAAACTAAGAGACTGACTTTAGGTGGGTTTTCACACTAGGAAGGAATAAATTAACAAGCTAGAGAGAGAGAGAGAGAGAGAGAGAGAGAGAGAGAGAGAGTGAGTTTGGGTCAACCAAGCAAGCCAAGCAACCGTATAAAACTCAGAGACTGACTTTAGGTGAGGTGATGATGCCTTGTTCCAGCAAAACTCAAAAGAAGTTGCCAGATTTGAACTTCGCTTATTTAACAATTAAAAATACGTTGAGCTTTATTCTCTTAAGCATCAACACACACTAATGAGCGGTGGAGATTTAGCTAGATCTTATTAAATCTCAATCGCTTATTTGTGAAAAATGATGTCCGGGGTAGGTTGGATTGGAAATTTGGATGTGTGCTTTGGAATTCTTTATGTAGAATTGAAGAAAGTCAACACACAAATTGCTGAGTGCATCACAGTATATTTATTAACACGCCAGATTTCATGCTTCACATTCATTTAAAAAAAATCCTTGACCCATATTTTTCTTTCATTTAAAAGATTTATCATCCAATTCCGATCCAATGAGATCTAAAGACAATTCGACCATATCGGGTCTAGATCCAACCTTATATTATTTTTTTAATTTTTTTTTTTTAGTCGAACTATATATTTTACACGAATACATAGTAATTCAAGGTTATACCGAACAAAAATCCCTTAACTTAAGAGTCACTCCACCACCAGTCATCCATTCACTACACCTAGGTACCGCCCCATTAATTTTCTTTCCCTTCTAAGTACATCGATATTTTTACACTAGGTAGAGGGGGAGTTTGGCTAAGCCACACAATGAACAACTTAATTTGGTATTAAATTCGCCATACATAAGATTCAAACTTAACACCTTTTACTTCTAAGCGAAGAGACCACCAGAGCACCGCCCCATTACTTGGCGCCCCAAGTTCTATTTGTGTGGGTGAGGACTTGCCAAAAGAGGATGGGGAAAACTTACTGAATTTGTGAGAGGAATCGAGAAGGGAGGATGCGTGATAAAAACAAGCACACCTTTTCTATTTCTACGTATTGTACCGTGCTGTTGTATCCGGTAACGACATTGAGATAGTTGAAGGCGACGTCGCAGATTCGCAACGGATCTCCGTCGTCTTGTGGTTCCTTGTTCAATGCCTTGGAAATCAGACACAAAGGTACCATATTACTTTCATTCAATGTAGTTCCAAAATACCATTTTGCTCTCTTTCAGAGTATGTTGACAAGACAAGTATTTACTTGAGCCAAGGGCAAAAATAGTAAAGCACGCAGTCATGGCGGAACAAAGTGCAGTGATAATTATGTCAAAGGTGCTACATCAAAGGAATGAAGAACTTGTTCTAGCATTGTTCTTGTATGGGAGTCGAGAGGACTCTCTGGTTTGTCTGAGTAAGTAATATTTACGAGGTAGAGCTTCTTTGAGGCCACAAATGCAGCTGAAAATATCCTCTTCATCCCTCCTCTTGTACTATCGACTTCATACTCAAACTCGTATACTTGAAGGCCACCCTGGCCTGGTCTCTCCGCATATCCAATAACCACAACATCTTTTGTACTTTCCTGTATGAACACAGAGAAGATGCGCTTAAGCAGACTGTTTCCATACTTCAAAGACAAGAAACATGTGACGCAAAAAATAAATATAAACATAAAATTAAAGAGAGAAGAGAAGCCACTGTAAGTTCAATCCAGGACCATTCAGCCAAACTTGTATTTTTGATCAAAACTGCCATCATTATGTTCAAACCCTCAAATTCTAATTATCCTTCTGGTCTTTATAGATCCAAGGGGGCGTATCCAACCCAAGAAACAACGAACAGCTCATGTACCTTAATCATGCAGTTCAAATTAAGAGTGGAACAATTAAAACTTCAGCCATCAGTTACCGTCCTGTCCTGAATTTATCCACTTTTGATAAAAAAAAACAGAAACTTTTTTTTTGTGTTTAAAAAAAAGGGGGTATAAATCAACATATCCACTGTTCTTGTTCTTATGCCAACAAAGACAAAAATAGTGCTTACTGGAAATGAAAAAGCCTACTTTAGGCGCCTCAGACTCTGAGTGGACACAATTCCATGTCAAACGTGCATCCCTAAACAGATATCCTTCACACAGTCGAATCATTTCTTGTCCTAACCCTATTCGAGGGATGCTAGAACGAAATGCAAAGGGTCACATAGGCATAATCTCCATTCCTCAACAAAATGCGGACGCCCAGTTAAAAAAATCGCTGGTATGTTCTGTTCAATCATATTATAGCAGGCATTAATTCATTTGGGTTTCCAAAATGCAGTTTTTGTTTTAGCATTTAATCAAATCAACACAGAATTACGCAATTTAATCGGTTTTGTTTTTTCGTTTCTCAAATCTAAAATCAGATAATGATACGTACAAGGTGGGAATCAAACATCATCCACCAGCAACTTCAGACATAAAAGACAATAGTAGGCAGCATAATTTGACATTACAGGGAAGCAAAAATACTGACCTTGCGCCTTTCGGCTTGTATAAGCTTATCAGCAACAAATTGAGGACTGCCGAACTCACCAAGAGTGGTAAGGCGAACCGGATTGACGACAACGCCAACATTATTGCTCCCTTTGTTTGGCTCTTCAAACAGAACAGTTGCCCCCGCTTTATCAACCTGACACCATCCATAAGTAACCATTGTCAATGTCATTCCACAGAACAAAATGCACTTCTATTCGTACATGTGTGTGTAATATACATAAATATATATGTATATATATGTATATGCGTACATAAGGTGGAAGCTTTACCTTTAACCAAGAGGATGGGCGGAGGAGGGTGAAACCCTGGTCGGAATCAGTATACCTCTGAAGCTCCAATTGCTGAGCAGGAATGGCGTTTTGGAGGTTGGGCAAACACCCATTTAAGAAAATGGCAACAACAGAGAGGCCGAGGCTTCTCCTGCTCAAGTAATTTGGAGTTGGATGAGATTCAGCGCGTCTTTGAAGAAGCAAACAAGCTGCTCTGGGCATTGGTTTTTTGGAGGAGTGTTTGGGAGAAGAAGAAGAAGAAGAAGAAGGAGGAGAGATGAATGGAGGAATTGGGTGGTGGTGGTTTGAGAGGGGAGAGCAATCGCAAATGTGCAAGGCCATCACTTGTCAACTCACTGACGGTGGGATGCCAATCAACCAACCAAAACCAACTACTGCACTTTACTAGCGGTGGATGCCAATCAACCAAAACCAAAACCAACACGGTGCATTACAGTACTCAGGGAATAATCCAATATTAAAAAGGGAAATTTAACGAAAAGTCCACGGTACTGTTCACTTTAACGAAAAATCACATTTTTACACTAAAATGTCAATCCTGGTACTATTCACTTTACCCTTTATTTTGTCTATATCATTAAAACTCAAAGTTTTCAAGCTCCTTTCATTTTTAAAACTAATGAAAAAGGCTTGAAAACTTTGAGTTTTAATGATATGACAAAATAAAGGGTAAAGTGAATAGTACCACGATTGACTTTTTAGTGTAAAAATGAAGTTTTTCGTTAAAGTGAACAGGGTTTTTCGTTAAAACTCCCATATTAAAACCTAAATTTTTTGAGAAATTAATAAAAAGTCCTTGGAAACTTTCATTTAACCTTTAGGACAAAAGTTTTTCAAAATACTTATACTATCCTTCAACGTATTTAGACAGCTTGGTCCCTTACAAAATCAGAAACAAAAGACATCAGACATAAATAAATGTTATACAAAAGTGGTTGTAGCAAGTAGACAAGCATGCACAAAAATTCACGTGGTCTTCATTAAAGCAAATGCAAAAGAAGAGAAGAAGACAAAACAATGGTAGCCACAAAAGAAAGAAAACGACAAGCTTCAGAAACAGTGTCAAAAAGTTAAATATATTTTACACCATCCATCTGTGAAGTTTTTCTTTTGTAATCTAGCAGTCCCAAATAGCTATAAAAATGGAGTTTCATTCACTATAAACAACACATGAACACCTAAACTCGAACACCTACACAGGACTACCACACCACAATCTGCAATACACTTAAGTAAATTTCTTCTTTTCTTTCTTTTAGTGTGTTCTTTTAATTAGACTTCTAGTCCAAAACAAGAAAACACTGTTGTAGTATATTATTAACCTACTAAACTGACGATCATACTTTGTTCGAGCACTCAGTTATAGTTGAATGCTTGCCATACAAATAACTGGATATTAACCAAGGTACCTCTAAGTTCTTCGTACTTATGAGTTCAGCCTCTAAGGCCTTATAAGTACATTATTGTCCTTATAGACCTTGTCAACCACAACCACTAGATATCTATTGTCTTAGACACCCAACTATAACCAGCACAAAGAGAAGATTAGTATATATTTAAAAAAGAATTAGCAAGACTTCAAAGAAGAAAAAGTTTTATCTTTGTTATCATGAGCACCCTTCATTTATTAGTAAATATAAGAACACAGAAGCACAACATAACGCATTAGAAGCAAAAAGAGCAACATATCATACTTTAGAGAATTTGAGAGAAGAAAGAGAGTTTCTAATAAACTAGTTAGCCATAACTTTAGAGAAAGGTAGATTGTAGTTTATGATACATTACCAAAATTTCGAAATTAGTGAACCACAATAAAGAAAAATAACCTTAGACCAAACTAGTTTAGTTTGTTATTTTCCATTAAGAAAGCATAATCATATTTTACATAGTAAAGAAAATTCACAAGCCAATAGTATTGTAGATCTTATTATTAGTCAAACAGAAAATATAAAATTAGAAAATAATAAGCATAATGTTGTAAGCTTAATTTACTGAACTGTATTTAAGACTAGAGAGAGAGAGGGCCGGCAGCAAGAGTGAGATTTAATTGTGAGATGTGTGTTGTATCAACTCATTGTGCCTTTATTTATAGTAGTAGGATAGGTTAAATCCTTACTCTAATAGGATTACAACTCTAATATGATAATATCTACTAAAGGGAATATTCTAAGATATCCCTAGATACATTAGGATTTACACAATCATATTCCTAATCTTATAGGACTGCAACACTCCCCCTTCAGTGTGTAAATATTCAAACAAAACTTCGCATCAGGTATTCAGTAGTTGAGCTGGAACAGTTGATGAAGTTGTCGGCACAACAGGCGAATGCGAATCTCAAATTTAAAGAAAGTATGCATTGATAGTAAAACTCACAAAATCTCTCTATGGTAAAGCTTAAGGCAGGTAAAAACCCATAGACTAAGGAGAAAAGTGAGAAATATGCATAATGTCTAAAACAAATGTCAAACAGGACAAAAGTAGTGAACTCAACGGAGTATGATCATCCCATAATGCACCAAAACCTTGTTAGGTAGCAAAAACCCAGTGGGAAAAATGCTACTAACAATACTCCCCCTGAAGGAAAATTTGTGAAAAACATGTTTATTTAAGCAACATCAATAGCATGCAATTAACAATTAAAGGCGGAATCATGCTTGTATGCACTTAAAACAAAACATTTACCCATGAAATTCAAAGCCTAGTAGATAGGTGAACCAAGACTCAACTCAAAACAAAGTGAGTTGAGAAATCAATACCTTTGAAGATTCCTCTTTGCATAAGCAAAGGCTAATCACCCAAAGAGAGGGCCTTCATTCCTTGCATCTTGGATCCATGGATTTGGATGGATGAAAAGGTTTCTCCAAGTTCCCAAAATTGAGAACCTCTAAGTCTCCACACCAAGGTATATTGTAGAAGAAATGAGTGACCTAGAGGAAGTAAGATTGCTAGCTATTCCCCTCTAGATTGGCCAAAATTTTTGAGAGAAAGGAGAGCTTGTGTTCTCATCCTTTCCCCAAAAATAACCCTTAGTAAATTTTAGGCTATAAAGTCCTTTATATAGTCCCTTCAAATAAGTGACCTAATGGACCAAAAGCCCTATTCTTTTACACATGGCTAGCCTATAGGTTTATTGGGCTTTCAAGCCCTTTGTTTTATTCAAGTTGTCATACAACTTGAGTTAATGGGCTTGACATTCAAATCCCATTGGACCTTGCGGCCCAAAACTAACCCGAGGTCTTTTAACGAACTTATTCGTTTGATTAATAATCATATTAATTAATCCTTGCCATAAATAATTAAACCATTTAATTATTCTTACTCATCTCCGTTGAATCTTCAATCTCTACCTTACACGGTGTACGATCCATTAGGTTCCTTTTAGCGAGGCAGTGGGCGATTCAAACTCTTTCAAATCGATTGTGAATTGAAACTTACTTTCAATTCTCCCGTTAGTGATAATACACTTTTAGGGCTTCCATAAACCATGAGTGACACCTAGCAGCATATCATGGTTACCCAAGCTAATCAGAAGAGGTGGAGAACCTATTCAGTTTAGGATTACAAATGCAATACGGTCTTTCTCTAATACAATACTCTTGACCACATTGTTTGGTTTGATAGTTTATTCATGTCTACTATCCAATGTGAATCTTGTACTTATATGATTACCTTGAATGTGATCTGGAACGCATTCCAACATCTCATTCATACTCTGGCCAGAGATTCTAAATTATATCATAGAGTATTCTCCCTCAAACAGTTTGAAGGTTAGAGATCCCTTGTTGCGCATTCACTTGCCTCCATGGCTAAGTGGCTTAACCCCAACGATGCCATGGACACCCTGATAGAGTGACTTTGACATAATCAAAGATTAAGGACCTAACCACAAGACAACTATGATGCCTCAGGTCAAAAGACTAATTTGCATTATCCCAACCATGAGTTCTCATGTGACATGAATATGAGAACTCTTCATTGATCGTGTTCAGTGAACTCATTCTCTATTGAGCACCTACGTACTTGTCTTGATGTCACACACACCAATGACTCGAGACTAGTCACTCTCCCTGAGAGAAGACATAGCACGTACTGATCTTAACGGACTGTCAATGCCCAATTGACAATCCTATGATCAGGAACGTTTAGGATGTGTCAACGAAAGAATGGTCTCATGAATCTAACTTCTTTAGATCGCATTCTTCCAATCACATATTCCTTGGACTTATCGTTTAAGCATATAACATTTATATTAGACGGCTCAAACAATAATCTTTGCCCTTTAAACTACATTAGTTTGAAATGTCCGTAAAGTATCATCATATGATTGGTTTTAGGGCACATTTCCAACAATCTCCCACTTGCACTAGAGCCAATCAGCTTAGTCATCATTGATGATACCTCTTCTGTAATTCATTTCATAAATGGCTGAGTAGTAGGCCTAAACAATGGATATCTATATGTTATCCATAGAAGCAACCTTGAGAATAACGACGTCACCATTATACATGATTCTCAATCATGTGGTTCAGTCTCTCATTTGAGTTCGGACCTTGATGAGACCTTGATTCCCTGGCTTGAGCTATCGCCCCATTAGTGTCATACACTTTCTGGTTGAAACCGAATGAAGAGTTCATGAATGAACTTTCCCATCCAAACAACAATGTTGTAAGCTTCTATATGGCAATATATTTTGCATACATGATGGAACACATTAAAGTCATTTACTTTTAACGTTTCCACCCAAATATCTCTTTAGTCATAATAAAGAGATATCTCTTTATCACTTCATTCATAATGAAGAGATATTCTATGATGGATTAGATTCATAATCTAATACATTTACGCTTCCATTACGTTACTCTAATTCTTCCTCATTCTTGAGGAATCCATCCTTAGTATTTCTTAAATACCTAAGGATTCACTTGACAGTTGCCATGGTTCTGATCCTGGGCTTGCATTGATATCATCTTGTACCGTTCTAGGTACGACTTATATCAATGTTTTCATACAATATGAAATACATAAATCACCTTTCTGCGTATGCATAAAGGATTCTATTTACGCATTATTTCTTTGGGAGTCAAAGGGTACATTCCCTTTGAGAAGAACAACTTCCTAGTCTCACTAGAATTGTCATTCTAATTGAAGTTTATCATCATATGAGAAACTTCCTAGCATCTCTTGTCTATTTTAGGGATTGATATAATCCAATTATATCTTGAAATCTATCATTATAGATTTCCATCCCATGTATATAGACTATGTCTCCCATATACATTCTATCATTATAGAATGTTTAAAGTCATAACTTTAACGATGAAGAATTCCTTTCATTTTCAAAATTAATATATATCATGTATATATATATTCTAATTTAGGAATATGATCAACTCCCACTAA